CGTGTCACCGTCCGTGTCGCAGCCCGTGTCACGTCAAAAGCTTCGAAATCCTTCAGTTAGGTGACACAGCCACCTGACATGGGCATGATGCCCGTGTCACTGCCCGTGTCACACCCCTGCATGCACGCTTTTGTCGATTTCGCTCGTTTCTTCCATTTTTCTTTTCCGTGCATCAATAATTCATCATCACGGGGTCCTAGGTACTCAACGTGTGCCTCCAATAGCCACAAGCTCTACAAATATGTAAAAATATCTACAAAATAAGCACGTGTAATACCTTTCCAACAAATAGAGAATTAAAGCACAAATATGCAATGACTAAGCTCTAAATACTCTATAAATATGGTGTAAAATCACACATGAACAGTAAGAACCCTAACCCTTAATTGTTCAAATGGAGTGGAGGCAAACAGCTGAGAATATCATGGAAAGATTTTGACAAATGAACCATTTTGATGAAATCTAATACTAAATAACTACGAGTTAACACCTACAAAACACCAAAAAGAAAAGAAATCGAAAGCATTAAATCCCTAAACCATACCAGAAAGTGCCAACATTGTGTAATAAACTAAGTGTAACAAACTTACCGTAATCTGGAAAGAACCTATCAGTTGTAATAGTCGTGCGTTGCTCACGAATTTTCTGAACCATTTCATTGAAGAATCAAAGGTTTAGGGTTGTGAAATTGGGGAAATCGCGAAATTAGGGGAAATCGGGATTTGAGATTGAAGAAATTGGGGACTAAGGATATTTTAATAGTATGATAAGATTACAATTTTACCCTTAAGCTCCGTTGTTTCGGTGTCTGAGGTGGGTACTTATCAATAACGTATAGTTGAGGTTGCAATTTATCAAAAATAAAAGATTAGGTTGCAAAGCCAAAAAGCCCTAAATTTCAGGTTGGTCAAAAAAATTTTTCCCATAGGTTTTTATAGCTTTAGCTATACTCTAGGCAGTGGCTTAAGCTTTTTTCTTACTGTGTTTGCTTTGTTAATTCTAGCTTTAGCTAGGCTCTAGGCAGTGGCTTAAGCATTTTTATTATTGTTTGTTTTGGTTAGCTGCATTTTAGCTCCCTTGCATTTCTGCGGGGTTTCTAGGCCGTTTTTAAGCGTGTCCTCCTAGTTTGTATTTTAGGTTTAGTTGCTTGTTGACCTCTGCATTCGAACATTGTTCCCTTTGAGCTTTAAAAGATTTCTCTATCGGAAAAAAAAAAACAATTACACAAGTAATATATGGGTATTGTGCTAGGAAAAAGTCAAATGTGAAATTAGGTGGAATTTGGGGTAAATTATACTTAATGAAACTACACATGCTATTACTACTCATCGGGTGTTGGGGTATACATAATATTCATTGAGTTGGGTATATAAAATATGTAATTACTAAACATCGCTCCTATTTTCTTAAAATGTTCAAAAAAANNNAAAAAAAAAAAAAAAAAAAAATCCAGTCGGCCGGTATCATCGGGCGACCGACCGCGTGGACGGCCGGTCATCCGTATTATACTGTTTTTTTTTTTGTTTTTACAAATAAATTTTTTATTTATCATAAAAATTATGTTAGAGTTTAGAAATTATTATGTTATATATTAGAATTTATTATTTTGTTAAAATTAAAAATTATTATGTTATAAATTAGAATTGATTATCTAGTAAAATTATTTTCTTTATTAATAAATTCTAATTTTATTAAAAACACACACTCACACACAAAAAAAAACATTGTATAATTTTATTTATTAATTAATTAGTTTGTATAATTATATAATCAAAACTTAGAATTATATAAAATTATTATAGTGATTTTTTAATCAAAAAGTGGAATTTTTTAATGTGAAAAATAATTTTACTAGATAACCAATACTAGTATATAACATAATAATTTTCAAATTTTAACATAATAATAATAAATTTTAATTTATAACTTAATGAATTCTAATTTTTAACATAATAATTTCTAAGTTCTAACATAATATTATTAATAATAATAAATAATAATTTATGACATAATAATTTTTAGATACTAACATATTTTCTATAATAAATAAAAATTTTAGAAGTAATAATAACAAAAAACGGACCTGAAATTGCAGTCGTGCACGGTGCGGCTGACGAGCAATTGTGGCCGTGCATGGTGCGAAACCTTCCGGCCGCGCCAAAAACTTTTTTTTTATTTTTTTATCAGAAAAAATGTCAGGGATAAAATTGTAAAAAAATGGTAGGTAGTAAAAAAGGAAAGGTGGTTTAGTAACACCCACTAAATATTCATTTGACAAACTAGCTGTTTTTTGTTTCGTTTTCTATGGAAGATCAATCAATCCAATCTTTCAAGTTATTGGTGGTCTTTGTAGATTCGAATAGTTTGAATCTTGTTCGGAATTCACATCTCTTTTTCTTTTTCTTTCTTCTTTCAGAATGGCATTTTGACTTTTAAATAATGATGAAATGGAAAGTGATGTTTCATTTCTTATCCTTTCATATTGACATTTAGGATGTGCGGTTAGATACAAATATTTTTTAGTTAATTATGGTTAATTTTAAAAAAGATAATATAATTTATTGTTAGTGAAATTTTAAATTTATATTAGAATAATATTTAAAATAAGTAAAGTTCATCTGATGTAAAAATAGAGAGAGTCGATTAGAAGTGATTTTAGTTTAAATTATGTAAGAGAAGGAAACAATGAATTAAAGGCGATATGTAAGAAAAAATAGTTGACATTATTTAATTATATTGATAATATTGAGGTTATGTGATTGAGTTAAAGTTGAGTTAGATTTTGAGTATAAATTGAATTTCTGCTAGATGGATCTATTTCCTCTGCCTTGTTTATATGTTCGCCTAAGGGATTTTAATATTCGAGTTGGATCAAGGCACAGTCATTACCTCTCTCTGCCCCATCTCTTACCCGACGATCAATAAAGAGAGATTCATGGTTGGGGTGGAGTAAACGAATCCCCTATTTCGGAATAGAAAGGCACTGATTCCACATATGGCTATGAATCAATAGCCGGATAAGACGTGTTTTGCCTTCTTTCTCCCCGGACTCGGATATGAAGAAGCCTAAGTTTATTATTCAACTATGGAGATGAGGCTCGATGTAATTGACCTTGACAGCTTCTTTAGAATTCAAATTAATCTAGAGACTCTACCTAGTTCATTCATCCGTCCTATATACAAACACACCCTTAGAATGTTTTTTAATAGAAAGCTTATTTTGCTATATTTGTGTTTCGTATTGACGCATGTACAAACTTGATAACTACTAAGTTTGAAAATTATCATAAAATTATTTTATCCTTTTTTTTTTTAAAAAAAAAAGTACCATACATTACCTTTCATTTTGATACATAAGACTCATTTGATTGTTGGACGACATGAAACCCCCGTGTATAACCAAATTATGCCCCGTTATAAACCTCGATTCGTCACTCGCTAGGAACAACATCCCCTAGCGACATCCTCCATGCTGGCTCACTGCCACGCAGAGGACTTGTTTATTGTATTTTTGTCCTTATTTTCTTGTCTTTATGTGTTTTATTTTGTGGTTTTTAGGTCCGTTTTTAGGCTCGACCGGTCCATTTTGTCGTATTTTGTATATTCTTGCTCTTGTATAGCTTGTTCGTATTTTTGCGCGTTTTCTCTTTGTTTTCGGTGTGATTAGGTCCATTTCATCGCGCACGAGGAGACGAACCGTCCGAGCCGACCGAGCCGTCCAATTTGGAAATTCTGACCAAACCATACCCAGAGGAAGAGCATTCATAGACAAGAATTTCGGTCTAAGTTTCGGGCGAATCGGAGTTCGTTGCGAGAAGATAGAGCGAAACGAAGAATCAAGCACGAACCGAGCCCACGCCCGCACGCACGCCTCCGCATGCCCACACGCCAAGCACACTCGCGAGCTCGCCTCAATTCCCGCGAGGTCGAGAGCTTCTCATTTGCCATAGCCACAGCACGCCGCGAGCTCGCCATCATTTCCGCGACCTCGAGAGCACTGCGCGGCCTTGCCCAGTCCACGCTCGCGAGCCCGCCTTCATTTCCGCGACCTCGAGAGCACTGCACGGCCTTGCCCAGTCCACGCTCGCGAGCCCACCTTCATTCCCGTGACATCGAGAGCCCCCCTTGCCCGTGCACTTGTGCTGCCTAGTGCTCGCGAGCTCGCGAATTTCATGGCTATATCGAGAGTATTTTAGTAAATGTGCGTGTTTTTAGTGTGTGTTTGTGGTGTAGCTATATATAGACATCTTGCTTTGTCTTTTTGGAGACAACTCTCATTTCCCAACTTTTAAGTTGGGAAAATTATCTCTATTTCTTTTTTCCTTTTTATGCTTAGGTTGGGGGTTTTATTACTCATATTTTCCGGTAAGTTTTCGGCTACATCATTTTATTTCAAGTTTCGAACTTTTCCATCCGGTGTTCTTCACGCATGCATTAGGAGAGTGGGTAATTAGCTTTAATCCTCATTACTTCGAATTTGCCCTCTTTTGCTTATGATGTGTTTCAAGGTGAATGTGGTTTTGCTTGTTGATTGGAGGAATGTTCGATTCTTGTAGCTCGTCGACATGTGTTAGGGATTAGTTGGTGCTTATCTTGTTTAAAGATTGCGACTTTGTTTAAAAGTGTAGTCATTTAGTAGAAAGCTCGATTTAATGACCTAGGATCACTTGGCAATGTTGATGTCCCTCGGTTCTTTTTGTGTTGGTTCAAGTGATAGAGACCCCGGTTGACCTAAAGCTCTCAACTTTGTCTTTAAGTTTTCATTTGCTTTCGATTTCTAATTGCGAGTAGTGTTTAATTCAAACCCAAACCAAGCGATTAGCATGTCTAGGATGTTTTCGTTTGTGTGACTTTGATGACTAGGTAGTAACCGAAGCTCCGAATAGCCTTCCTTTGAGAACGACCCGAGGCCGGGTAACTCGGTTACCAATACCCAAAAATTTACTAAACAGGACTCCCCTACTCTCTCACTATCTTGTTCAAGTCCTCGGGCTGCAAATTCAGATGCCCAAGCACCCGTCTGTACCACCCACGAGCATCTCCAAGGGCACCCCGTGCAGAGAGACGCAGTTCACCTGAATCCCGTGCAGAGAGACGCAGTCCACCTGGATCTCATGCACCCCAAGCTCGCAGGCTGTGCTCTTCGCCAAGCCCAGGATGGCCCATTGGACGACCTTATAGAGGTTCACGGCGAGTAGGGATGCCTGAGGCTCGGTTTTGAGGCCTGTGATGCTTCCATCTGGCTCTATCACGCCTGAGTTGTTGAACATGATAACTAGCCGGCCTTTCCAATCGACCGCCACCAGGACCGCATGCTCCATGCCACTCTCGACAGAGACGTCGCAGTGAGCGTACTGGCCGCTGATCGAGGTGGTGAGCTGCGACCCAGGCCATACATTGCCTTTCAGTTTACCCCTTCGATAGCCGAGGAGCCATTGGGTGACCTCTTTTTTAACCTTACACTTTTGTATGAAAAATGCCAAATCTTGAGCAATTATAGCTCTTCTAATTTCGAACTCGATGCTACACTCTCCGAGCTCCACAACCCATTTCGCCATCCTCCCTGCGACTGAAGGTCGATTTAGGGTACTTTTTAATGCATAATTAGTTTGGACTATGACTTTGTGGGCCAAGAAAAAAGGCCAAAACTGGCGTGCCATAGATATGAGTGCTAGCGCAGCCTTCTCAACCTTTGAGAAGCTCTGCTCCTCACCTTGGAGTACTCTACTGGTATAATCGACTTCTACTGACCTCCTTCTTTTTTAATCAAAACTGAACTAATAGCCTTTTTGCCTATTGGCAAGTACAGAACGAGCTCGTCTCTAGGCTCTGGTTTAATAAGCAGCGGCAACTCTTCCAAAAGTTCCATAAGCCAGTCAAAAGCTTGTTGGGTTGGAGTAGTCCACTCAAATCTTTGATCCCTTCCTTTGTGCTTGAAAAAACGGAAAGCTCTTTTCTCAGACTTAGCAATAAACATGCTTAGTTTGGCTAGTCGACCTGGGAGGACACGAACTTGTCTTAAATTGTTTGGGTCTTGTATTTCAGGCGTCGCCTTGAATTTTTCCAGATTCACTTTAGTTCCCCTTTCCATGACCAAGTAACCCAGGAACTTCCCCGAACTGACCCCGAACTTTCACTTTGTTGGATTCAACTTTATGCCATAGCTACACAATGTTTCAAAAGTCTCTCTGAATTTAGCGTCGTGGTTCTCAGCTTGCTCACTCTTTACGAGTATATTTTCCACTAGACCTTTATATTTCGCCCCACCTAATCATTAAACATCCTATCAACTAGCCTATGGTAGTTCGCACTCGTGTTCTTAAGCCCAAAGGGCATTACCACATAGCAGTATGTTTCTTTAGATGTCACGAAGCTAACTCGCTTACAGTCTTCTACTGCTAGAGTTATCTAGTGGTACCTTTGTGAGACATCCATCATGTATAGATAATGTATAGTGATCCTTCGGACACGCCTTAATTAGGTCTCTGAAATCATTAAACATCCACAGTTTACCATTGCCTTTTTTGACCATGACTGAATTGGATAACCACTCTAGAAATTGTGTGGGTCGTACATGACTTAGTTTTAACAGCTTGTCAACCTTCACCTTGATGACTTGGTCGAGCTTCGCACTGAAGTGCCTTTTATTATGCCTTAATGGTTTTACTGCTAGATCGATGTTGAGTATATGCTCGGCAATTTCCAAGCTTATTCATGTTAGGCCGTCTGCCGAGAATGCAAAGACGTCTATGAACTCTCTCAGGAAAGCGATTAACGCCACTATAATATCTATCCTCTGGGAGGTGGAAACCTACTTTAGTGACCTTGTCGACCTTAAGCTCAAACTTAATGAGCTCATCTTGCGATGATATCTCCAGCTTCTCATGCTTACTACTACTACCTGAACTCTCAGGGTGGTCTGCTTTCAGGCTTTTCTTCGCTCTCTGGACTTCTGAGTTTTTAGCAAGACTTGGTAGCAACTTCTGGCCCGCAATTGGTCCTCTAGGACCTCATAAGCTGATTCTCGGCTGGGAATTTCACCTTCATGTAGTATGTTGATACTGCTTCTTGGAAAACGTTCAAATCAGGTCGCCCTAGAATGACATTGTAAGCTGAAGTAGAATTCACCACCAAAAATTTGATCAACCTTCATTTCTTCAACGACAATTGACTCAGCCTACTGACAGGTACACCTCGCCCACTGTCTTGACTTCACCTCCATCGAATTCGTAGAGAGTTGTATTGATTGACTCAATTGCTGTCTTTAGGCCCATCTGCTTAAGAAATACTCGAGGATGATGTTGATTGAGCTACCTATGTCCACCATGACTCGTTGCACACATAACTTTCGATCTCTATGGTTACGACAAGGGCATCATTGTGTGGTGCTGAAATACCACGAACATCCTCTGGCCTGAAGCTTAGAATGGCTTCGGTTGCTCGTTCTAGATCCCCCCGACCTTTTCCCATGACATGCTACAAATGCCATGCTCTGGGGAATCTTTTACTTTTACTTTTATCTCCTTGCCTTTTGATATTTTTGCCGATGTTTCTCCTTCCACGCCTTTTTGGTTTTCTTGAAAATTTTTCTCTGAATGATATGATTGTGAGAATACAATCAGGCCCTTATAGGCAGTAAAATATTGTCTTCTTGCCACAGACAACACCAATTTGTTGTATCACTTTTCGTCACGAACTAGGTTGAACTGCCTATGTTGTGAACTTTCAACATCTTTAAGCTCCAGTGACATGCAATACGCCGGTAGGGGTCCCGATAGAAAACCTCTGACAGTCAAGTCAGAACTTGCTCAACAAATATATATGAGAATATGTAACTTAAGGCGTAGAATGTGATATCTCAATGAAGAAGAACATGGTAACCTTATATAGGACAATTGCCTTGGTGCCTAAGAGAGTCTTTGTTAAAAGGAAATACAACCAAATCACATTTCCTAACATACCACGTCTCTATCTGGGAAAGTCTCATTGAACAAGTGATATTTTCCTTCTTACTAGGATTGCTTCCCCCTTACTGTACAACCCTTAGGTCCCTAGGACGTAACTTTGAGCTCCTGACTTACTTCTTGCGGCTTACCCGAGGTCGAACCTAAACACACCCTGAGGTCTAACCTGACTCAGATCTTACGACCTCGATACCTCAAGGTCGATTGTATTACCGAGCTTCTAGATATCGGTACCTCCAGGTCGACTTCTTCTGGTCGGCCAGTACCTTGAGCTCGAGTTCGAGCTCCCTGACTGGGTTGCTTACTTCTGGACAGGTTGAAGCTTTTCTGGACCAGCCTATTACCGAGTTGTCTGCTCAGGCCAATCTGTCGAGCTATTTGAGTGCTACATCAACAGTGCAAAACCCAAAAGACATGTTCGGATCCAAAAAGAGACATCTCAACCTCGATATCATATTTCATTTAACGCTTCAAATGAAAAGACGTCTTATTAGTCTCATCTCATGTTTGCTTAACTAACGCTATGATCGACAATCGTACCAGATGATCATCCTCAAAAAGTTCAAGCTTCACAAGGTAGCTTCTCGGGTGTGTGTCGGTTATGTCCTCCACCCATGGGAACCTGAGGCCCTCTTTGTTGCACATTAAAATCTGTATGGACTATAAACTGGGCCATTAAACCTCGACAAATGGATATTGAAAAAAGTCTCCTCCTATTGGGCTTGCAAACTCAAGAAGGGAGAAACCTGTTAGTGTTATTTTTGTTATGTTTTTATTGATGTTTTTTATTATTATTTTTATGTATTTTTAGTAATTTTGTGGGATTTTGGGTAATTTTTAGTTTCTTTGAGTAATTTGTAATATTTAAGTATTTGTGTGGAATTTTGTATATTTTCCTTGTATTTTTTGAGTATTTGTAAAATAAAAGAACGGTCGAAAATCTCGGAAGAGCAGAATTTT